ACATGCCTGCAGGAAATGCCCAAAATGACTGGACTTGATTTCTCTTGACCAGCCTGATTGCATAAACAGAAAGAATCAGTGTTACAAACATTACTGTAAAAACAAACTAACAAAAAAACCCCGAAAGAAAACAAAAAACCGAACAAAACACAAAAAAAATCCAAACAAAAAAAGCCCCCAGACTGGAAAAGGTCAATGTAAGCAGGGGAGCAGCAGCAACATCAATGAAAACAGGTCTTTTTAAGTGGGTGTGAGGGAGCCACCACGGTGGTATATCACATTACACATCACTCTGCAGTAAGGATGTGCATGCACACAATGGGGAAGTAATATGAAGCTGGTTTAGTCAAGCTGGTGCAAAAGGCTGTGTGGATGTATTGCCCCTTAACCAGGTTTATTTTGGGTTAATTCATATCAAACAAACAAACAAACAACAAAACAACAAAGAAAAAAAAAAAACCAAAAAAAAAACCAAAGACAAAAGAGACCTACCCTGAAAACAAAAGGAATGAAAGAATCATACAGAATTTCACATTCTTTGAGCTAACACTAAAGTAAGCCTGTGTGTGAGTATGTGTATGGACAGACATAAAACCCAGTATGTTTCTTTAAAACTCTCACCTAGAGGACGTAAAAAGGGATTTTTGGGAGACTAAAGCAAAGCCAAGTGCAGTTACTGATTAATATGTCTTCATCACTGACCTTACGACCAAGAATATACGAAAATCAAATTTTTAATTTCCTATATATTTTACATGAGAGAGAAAAAAAAAAGGCAATCCCAGAGTACTGCAAGAGGCACTGGTATTTCAAGCTTACTGCATAACCACAGATTTCCAAACCTTGATCAACTTTTCTGAATCAAGAAGAAAAAACATCAGTTTAAAATCCTAAGTATGATCAGAAGAGCATCAGAGGAAAAACTACCCTGGAAAGTTTTATCACACACTTGCCATGGTTTGTCATTTCTGCCAGCTTTGGCCTTCACTACAAATTGCCATTGCATTTACATATTTTTTGAAAAAAATATGTGGAGAGCAAAGGAGGGAAGTGAAACATCAGCCTCGTGATCCCTTCTTTCAAAACACACTTCAGCCATTTCAAACTTGCCTTGGTGGACTCTGTAGTTTGTTAGTCCCTGTCTGACAGATGGGACAAGATATGTCAGTTGTATATCACCAATATTTTATACTCTAAGAGCGCTGGTTACTTCACACATTCACACATCTTCTTCCAAAAGGCAACAGGATTGGCATGGGAATAGGCAGGACAAAGACCAGTTTCCCAGAACAGCAGCAGTGCTATTTGTGCCTGCTTGATTCAGCAGTATTTGGGATCCTGCACATTTGGGATCCTGCAGTACTTGGGATCCTGCACAGTCAGCCCAGTGGCATTGCCCTGGTTACAGTGTCCTGGGATGTTGCTGCAGATATCCTAGAATTCAGCCAGCAGAATCTAATTAGATTTAACAATTAGCTTTTACAAGAAAAGAGTAACAAAAATCAAAGCCCAACATTATGAAGCTGCCATATTTTTTTTTCCAAAGGAAAAATATCCTGCAGCATTTCCAGATTCCTGTATAGGCCAGTAGCCTGTCCCCCAAGACAGACACTTTATTTGCCCTTAATAGCTAACTTAATATAAAGAGATTAAAACTGCCAGCTAAGCATACTAATAGACATCTATCAAACACACTTCTGTATATCAGATTCCTCAGCTGAGAGATTTGTATATGCAGTGAAGTTAAGCCTCTATGAAACAAAACAGAAAATCAGTTAATAGGTATCTAATGGTATCATACTGATTTACTATAAAAGGGCATAACACTAAGCCAGCTAAATGAAAGACAGCTCCTTTTACACAAAACTAAAGTATGTAGCTTGCTAATCTAAAATATGAGTTGTCCTCACTTTTCCATGATAAAAGGAATTTGATAAATGTTAAATTACTGGGACAAGATTCAGTTCTGGAATATAAGAGCACATGATCGAAAAAAAGGCAGGAAAGTAGTTGAAACAGGAAACATCATCCTGTTTTCACTGAAACTGTTTGTATTATAAAAGAAAATAGCAACAGCTCACAGGTGTGCTAAACAACAAAGAACGTATTCCATGTCCATGATGTGAAAGAAGGTGCATGGTAAGTAGTCTTGCTCTCAGTTCAGAACCAGCCACGAATTTTGGAAAGAGGAAGTAGATTTACTGTCCTTTCCCAGTCATGTGCACTTGATAACATCATTCTTTACTGGTGTATTCACGGAGAAACTGGGCAGCAGTTACTTGTGCTTAGACTTAACAGAAAGGTGACTTTGTGGCAACCAAATACCAACGCTTTGGTTCAGAATCAGGAGGCTTCACAATACATCCAGCAGGCTCCTTAATGGCAATGCTTGTTCCCATCCCAGCAGACTGAGGCTGTGGGTCTCTTTCTACATATCTATTGCATGAGTAATGGTCTCTGTGCAGGACACAGCTTTTGGGGAGCAGACTGTCAGATCTGTTTTCAAAAGTGACCTTGGCATTGGATATTTTTTTTTTAAATCAGCAGTGTATCTCAATGCAAATAATGCCCCAGTTTGCTGGGGGTCAGCTCGCTTCATTCAAGTGCTCCAATCTCTGCTCAGACAAGAATGTGCCAGACTAACTCCAACTAAATGGCCAAATGATTAGTTCATCCTGTTTTGCTGCAAGCAAATTACTCTGCATTTTCACTTCAACTGAGTGACAGTAACAGGCAGCTGGGGTTACAGCTTTTTTGACTGCCCTAACGCTTTGCAGAGTGAATATTTACCAACAGCATTTACTTAGTTTTCTTTTACAAAATTAATACAAACAATTGAGGAAGTTCACATCAGCAATTAGCCCACCTGATAATACTTCTTAAACAAAAAACAAAGCACTGCTTCCAAGACAGGCATATTCAAATTAATTTCCTGGAAACAAAAAAAAAGCTTTTTGCTGATCTTCACCAGACCTTGGTTGTAAAAGAATGAACACCAGTGAACATTAAGTTCTCTGAGAAATGTGAATCTGTCTGTCTCAGGAATACATAACTTATGTTTCTGCAGAAATTTCAGTTAGTGAGACAAAATCATGACAGATGGATTCACCAAAAAATATTTGAGGATGAGGCAATTTTTTTTAATCCAAAATGTATGGCACAAGCTCAAGACTGAAAATTTGGCTTAATTTCACTCTGTATCCAAAGGGATTTGACCTTAAATCCCTAAGAAAAATTCCCTAGTTCCAGTAGGGTTGAAGCTGAGCATTTACAGTCTCCCTGATGATGTAGTCCAGCATTTATAAAATACACTTACACACACACACACACACACACACACACACACACACTTATTTCTCCTTTTTCTTTTTTCACCCCATCTCCTACCCCCCTTCACTGTAGATACTGAAACTCAGCTTTTTTTTTTAACTCAGATGAACCTCCAAACCATTACTTACCAACAGTGTGGGAAGGAAGGACTGAAATTCAGTGTGATCAGAAAAAAGCAATTGCCAGTTGTAGTACTATGATCAAAAATATAGAAGAAATGCCCAATATCCACTGACCCCGACACTGTGTCTCAGATCTAACAATGAGTGAGTAGTATTTGCCAGCCCTCCACCAGACCTAAACAACCTCTATGATTTAGAAGATGCCCCCTCACAGAACAGATTATTATCATTTCAACAATGCTTGGGAATGTTTGTGGTGGCAAATGGAAGTAGTATCTTTTGAAATCTTCTCTCTTGACTTTTGTCTTCCAAATGATGTGCTATACTCCTTTGTTGCTCTACTACTCCCTTATTGCTCTACTAGTATTTGATTAGCTTTTGGGAAATGCCAGCTTGTTTCTGCTTCAGTAGCTTTGTCTAAAACCTTGAATTATCTTTCCTAGCTCTCTCAGAAAGCTATTTCCTACCTAATGTGTTTTATTAATCTGCTATATTATTAGCAAAGCAAGCAGAATATTAAGTGGGATACTTCAGCAGTATCTGGCGTTAAAAAATATCTGGGAAATACTTGAAGTTGTACTGAACCATAACAACTTTTCCTCAGCTTTTTCACTGCAGAGCACTACAAACTTGGTCTCCATCATGATGTTTCAGTGGAATCTCACAACAAAACTCACAAAATCTTAAAGACTGGAAGGACTACCATAATTTCCCAGTAACTGTTACCTTAGTCCATGTATTTCTACTCCAAAATGTGAATAGGGGTGGGAACACATTACTGTGGTTTTAAGTTTTAGAGGTAAAAATATTCCTTTAAGAATTTTTTTGGCTAAGCTGTGGCCCTGTGGCTAGATAAGTCTGCTGGAGAAACAATGCAAGGAAATCTACTCTTGGGGCACAACATAATGCTGTTTGCTTACATAAATATCAGGTTCATAAAAGCCAAGTCTTTCTGACAGAAACACGAGGAAGGATTTCAGTTTTATTTATACATCAGTTTTTCCCTCTCCAGAATATTTAGCCATCTGCATAAAGCACAGTCATTGCACACCCCAAAGCTCTCCAAAAAGAAGCTTTCTGACCTCACTGTCAGCCATCTCCTCTTCCCAGGATTAAGCACACCCAGTTATTGATATATTTACTCTGATTTTGTCTCAGCCAACTGGTGCAACACCCTACCAGTGCAAACTCATCAAAAGCTTCCTGCAACCAGGCAGTTCATCCCAGCTGCTCAGGTCATACCAACTTGTGACCCATGATATAGGTCTTTATAAGCAAAATAAAAAATTAGAGGAAAAATGAGAAAAAAACCCCATGCAAACAACACATCCATGAATCCACAATACATTTGCTTGAGTGTCCGCTGGTGACATTGGCCTTAATGCCATCAGCATTAAGACTTTGACAACCTCCCTTTTTAGGTTATTCCTCCAACTATCATCTGGATATTATTGTATATTATATAATATAATGGCATATTTTACAAACTTGTAGTGAGATATCAGAAGTTTCTACAAAGCAGTTAAATAAGAGGTGTTTTCATCCTACCTTAACAATGTGAGTCTGTCTCTTTCTGCATCTTCTGTGTTGCTTCCCTGTGTAGAGAAAAGAAACAGAATGTACAAGGCTGGATTTCAATTCCAGACCGGTTTGGTCACTGTTCAGTCGTGCTGTTCTTGGCTATTTTCAGGAGGATAAACAGTACTTCTGGCTCTTGTGTTTGCAATGCTCTTGTCGTAGCCGAGACTGCAGCCCAGCCCTAGTGAGAGAGCCAGAAACTCCAACAGGATCCTAACAGAAACAGCTGGAAAATGCACCAAAGGTCATCCAGGCGTCAAAGGTCATCCCCAAAGGTCTGATGTCATCCTGGGCTCACAGGTCATCCAAAAGGACAAATGGTCATGCAGGGTCAAAAGTCATCACAGGTTCAAAAATGTTACCAAAAGGTCAGAGGTCACCCAGAGCTCAAAGGTCACCCACGTGGTCAAAGGTAACAGAAAAGGTCAAGAGGTCATTCAAATGTATCCAAAAGGTCAAAGGTCATCAAAAGTGTCAGAGGTCATAAAGAGGTCAGAGCCAATCAAAAAGGTCTAAGGTCATTTAGGGGTCAAAGGTTTAACACACATGTACACCAGATAAGAGAAAAGGGGGTTGCACTCTTAGAAGCAATTCTTACAACACATCCAACACAAGTTTCCACACAACACCTGGTCATGCAAATGTGTCAATTCAAATGCACAAAGCCCACAGTTCTTCCATCCTTGCTCTTTCTGGAAATCACAATATCAATACAAAGGATGATAGATTTTTGCACAGTAATGTGTCCACTGGAGTTTCAATTAGCAGAACAATTGCCAGGTGCTGGCTGGAATGAAGCACTGGAAAGACATGGTCCTTTTGATTCAAATTCCATTTCAATTCAAATTTCAGTTCAATGTCAAATGTCCTTTAGGCATTTTCTGCATTCAGATAACAACTTTTAAATCACAAAAAATATAACATTATGTTTCCTATGTGGTTATCCATATTAATATGACTTAAAAACATTTGAATAAATTTTCCTGACTAAAATCTCCAGTTCATTTTGGTTCCTACAGTCAGGAACTTCAATGCACCTCAGAACTGACCATATTGCAGGAGCCAGAAGCAAAGTGCCCAACCCTGAGCAATGGAGGCAGTAGCTCTCTGTACACCCCTGCCTGCCAACCAGCAGCTGGGATGGGCTGCTAGGTCCTTCCCTTTTTATTTTCTGTTTACTATTTTAAAATGGTAATAAATTCAAACCTACAGAGAGACCTCAGCTTGGATTCAGAAGAAAACTTTCCCAAGCCCAAACTTTGAGTGCAGTCTTTTCTCCTCCCTGAGAAAATTTGGCTCTGCAGCTTTCCACACTGATGTCTTGTGTTCCATGTATTAAATTCCCTTCTGCTCAGGGCACCTACAACTTTACACAATTTAAGAGCCATGATAATCCTATAATTGGTTAGCATAGATACAAATATAATATATCGGTAGATACAAATATAAAAGAGTAAGAGCTCTTAGTTGGATAAGGGAGACATCTATAATGAACACCAAAGTAGCCCAAGGGGAAAGATTTTAAAAGTCTTTCCCCAGACCAGCTGGAGCTTTTGCCATTTAAGACTGAACCACGTTTTCACTTTGAAAGACCTCAGTGGCACTATTTTAATTTAAGAGACAATTTGAATCACATCCTGTGTTATCTGGACCCCGGACAGTTAGTGATGTAATTGGAAACTGGAAAAACTATTCCAGATTTGATACCCTATTCACTTTTCATCCTTTTGTTTCTTGTAATTTTTTCCTGCCTCAGTGCTATGGCCTGACCTAGAAAATTAGGTAATTACAAATATTCACCAGTTTGTAGTATAGACAGAAAAGTGTTATCACAATTACATCTGTCATGTAGTTATCATATAGTAACTAAACAGCCACTACTTACCTAATCAGAGCTACCCAGGAGGAACTTGTCATGCACGAAAAGTGATCAAGTAACTTTCTATTAACTCAAGCCTCAAGTAATCTTAGAATAATTACCATGAAAATACAAAACTTCTTATTTAGTCCCGAGTCAGGGAAACACATGTGCTTAATTCCAAGAACTTCAATATGCTAAGCACTTGCTAAGTAGGCTGGCAAGCACTGAAATGCCTTGTTAAATAAAGCAAGACCTCAATCTTGAACACACACAAAGCACTTAGTGCCTGCCAAGAGGAATTTCATGCATAGTGCTGAACTACAGGATTTCCGTTCATTTACATCCCTAACAGTAACAATGCTCAGCTGAAAAGGAAGATGATGAGCTCAAGAGCTCTCAGATCAATGGTTTAGCACGTGAGAATGCCCGCCGGGAACCCCAAGCCTTTTCACTTTCATTCTTTGCTCTCCTGCCCCAATACACGCATATAAATTCCAGCTTCACTATAAATTTCCTGACCGTAAATAAGGAATTGCAATTTTTCGATCTTGATCCCCGAATGTACCAGTTCTCACTTTTCAGCGCTGCCATGTGCTGGATTTACCAGCCAGTACATCTGCCTGACCACGGCAGACACCCTGGGACAAGGAAAACTCCTGCTGGGCTGATGGTTGGGAACTCCTGGGCTGCCTGCTGATCCTAAATCAGCCAGTTCCCAGAGCTCCGTGGCTGCAGTTCTCACTCAGGATGGGAAAGGTTCAATTCCCACATCTCCCCGGGAGTGCTCCCTAACCACTGCAAACTCCAGGGGGTGAGAGCGTTTCATCCCACCCCATACAGCTGTCTTATTTTGTTCTGCTTATTTATTGCTCCAGTATTTTGTTAAACATCTGGGAATTGAACCCAGGCCTCCCTCTGTCCCTGCAGTGAGTGTAGGTTTAAGAGTCAGCATTATTTTTGTTTTTGATCATCTTTTAATTATTTCACGGTCTTCACTGGAACCTTTTCAACAAGGGGCACTGTTTTCTTCCTGAACTTTGCAATATAAACGAGGAAAATAAACTCTCTGTAGAAGCTATGGATAAAGCATAGCACACACAGCTTCACAGTTTATGTCACTGTACCTAAAACATACATAACTGGTTTTTAATCTCACAAAGATTTCTGCAAAAGAACAGATTTCTCCAGGGATCTTTGCAGTTAGTTAGTGTAAGAAATTGCTCTTATTAACAACTCATTCAAAATTTAAAATCCATCTAAGCAGTCTGGAGCCACAGAAAAGGAGAACAGCAAAATAAACAACATCATGTATCTGATAAACACAAACAAACACAATATTTTTTTTCTTTCCATTTTAAAGCTAGGGTTTGGCTCTGAATTTTTTGGCTTCTTCCACTATTAGCTAAGCCACTGCAGGATGGTTCACAAAGATATTGCACTTAACCAAACTGGTGTTTGAATGGAGAGTAAAATATACCAAGGGGAGGACATTGGTTTGGCAGTACTATTTTAAGTCAAAAAATTGCAATGTAAAAGGTTCACGTCAATCAGTACAGTGAGGCAGTACATAACAGAACTTTCACACTTTCTATAGCCACAAGTTTTCTAATACAAGTGATATTTCCAAGCTCCCTGGAAAATGCACGTCACTAAATAAGTACTAAGAGGTCATTTTTGATCTGAAGGTTGCATGCTCATGGCTTTGCCTACCCCTGTTCAATTACCGGGAAAGAAATATTAAAAGGTGTCAGGAGTTTTAATTCCAGAGAAATTCAGAAGTCTCCTGCGAATTAAAGTGTCTCTTCAGCATTTCTGCATGTTTCCCACCATTTGCCCCATGTAAAAGCATTCTTTATCCATACACATTTCTCCAAGAAGGATCTCCCTTTTCTGATGATGTGGCGGAAGGTGGGTAGAGAATATACTATTGCTTTTAATGTTGCCACTGAAGGCACTTTTTTCCAGAATCTACTAATACAAAAAAATCCAGCTTGTAGCCCCAAAGTCATCCTCTTCAGTGGCAGGAATATTTAGAGATAAGGCAGTATTTTCAAAAATGCACATCCCCATAACCCAGCATCTTCCCTGTGGTGTTTTGGACCTAACATTTTAAATTTTTTCTGCTAAACTTTACTATGATATATATTTTTATGGCCTCCGATTAAAAGAAAGTAAATATAAAAGCACTGTTGGGAGAGAAGGTATAACACCAAGTCTCAAAGAAAGGTTGCACACATTGCTGAAAATTCACAGCAAAATGAGCCACTGTGAGCACACCCATGTGACACTTTATTGGAGCATAACTTTTAAGAGATCACCTGATACTGGCAGAAAATAAAATGGGTTTCTTATAGGTACAGCAAATCTGAGCCAATATCTGACATTGCTTGGTTCAGTTATGCTCCAGCTATTTTGACACTTCCAAGAACTAGGAGCTACAATTTGCATTCAAAATATGAACAGACCTCAACAATATATGTATTAATTTATGTATTTTTAATATATGCATCTTCTCTGAGTATGTAGCATGCCAGAATCACTATAAACCTCACTTTCCTTTTTTTTGAAATTATATTGTAGTACCCAGTAACACTGTTATAGATTATTAGGTTTACTATGCTCTTTGAAAGCTATTTCATTATTATGTTTGATAGCCATTTAATAATCTGAGGTCATGTAACATCCAGAATGTACTAAATAAATTGACCATGGTAAACCAGCAAGATTTTTTAAGATTTTTTAGTTACAACTGTAACCTATACCTTTACTAATTGCAATATTTTATCTGCATTTTAACCAGGATGAAATATTAGTGTGCCATTTGCTGTTGAGAATTCACCTTTTAAAAGGCACCTAGGAGATTTTGAGCTATCCATGATTTTACCCCTAAGAAATATATTTAATTCTGAAAAGTATAATTTTACCAAAAAGACCCAAACCTATGATAGAAATAGAGTAGGACAAACATATCTTGAAATGGAAGATAAATTTTAAGTATTCACTATCTCAATCAGTTATGTCTTTAATCTCAAAATTTATTAGTGGATCTATTGTACAGAATATTGAAAATTAGTAGAGACAGAAGTGTTGTTTTGACTCTGTTTTCTCTCTCATTCTATGGCCAGAAAAGTTTAGTCCAGCTTTTCTGGAATAGCA